GCTGTGCTATTCGGCGCTGCTGCGCGAAGCCAACCCGCCGGCGAGGGCGGCGGCAGGCCAGTCTCACAGCCTCTTCATCGACGGCGAGGGGCGGCTCTCGTCGTGCGGCTCAGCGGAAGACGTCGCAGGCCTCCTCGGGCACGGCGAGAGCGTGACACAGCTCAACACGCCGACCCGCCTCCAGTCGACGCTGGGCGGCGAGCGCGCCGTGAGCGTGGCGGCTGGAGCAATCCATGGCCTCGCCCTCACTGCCGACGGCAACGTCTGGAGCTGGGGCCGGGGGGTCGCTGGCCCGCTGGGCCACGGCGACGAGCAGACGCACCAAGTGCCCAAGAAGATAGATGCCTTGACTGGCCAGCGTGTCGTCGCTGTCTCGGCTGGCTACGACCATAGCCTCGCCCTCGCCGCCGATGGCGCCGTCTGGAGCTGGGGCGAGGGCGCATGCGCTTGCCTAGGCCACGGAGAGGACCTGTCGGACCAGTTGCTGCCCAAGAAGGTCGAGGCCTTGGCGGGGCAGCGCGTCGCCGCTGTTGCGGCCGGAGAGTGCCATAGCCTCGCCCTCACCGCCGACGGCTCTGTCTGGAGCTGGGGCCGTGGAACCTTTGGCAGGCTAGGCCACGGCGACGAGCAGCACCAGCTGCTGCCGAAGGAGGTCGAGGCCTTGGCTGGCGAGCGCGTCATCGCCGTGTCGGCTGGGCCGTACCACAGTTTCGCACTCACCGCTGACGGCAGTGTCTGGAGCTGGGGTTGGGGAAACGAAGGCCGGTTGGGCCACGGCGACGAGCAGCGCCAGCTGCTGCCCAAGAAAGTCGAGGCCTTGACTGGCCAGCGCGTCGTCGCCGTGTCGGCGGGAGGCGAGCGCAGCCTCGCCATCACTGCCGACGGCGCCGCCTGGAGCTGGGGCCTTGGAGGCGGGGGCGGCTTGGGACACGGCGACGAGCAGAGCCAACTGCTGCCCAAGAAGATCGAGGCCTTTGCTGGCCAGCGCGTCGTCGCTGTGTCGGCTGGGGCGTTCGACGATCTCGCCATCACTGCCAACGGCGCCGTCTTTACTTGGGGCGAGGGCGATCGCGGCTGCCTAGGCCACGGAGAGGACCTGTCCAACCAGCTGCTGCCCAAGAAGGTCGAGGCGTGGGCGTTGGGTTAGTAGGGTACCGGGAGCCTCGTACGGCCACGCACGCCGCGTGAGAGGGCGGCTGGGCGAGCTGGCGAGCGCGAGAGCGGACACGCCGCTCAGACCTAGTGAGGGAGAGCGTGAGGAGTCCGGGGGACTTGGACTTGGTAGCGGCATATATTTTTCTGCTGATTTACCGATTTTCTCGGGGTTGACCGCTGTGGCGTGTGGGGCCGCGTCGCGCGTGCGGTTGCCGGTTCGCACCTCCCCGGGGTCCGGCGTCCAAAAACAGCTGCGAGCTGTGCCTGACGAAATCTTTGCCCTCTCCTTTCTACAATACATAGGCAGTGTTCTTTTTGATAAATGACGGCGCACCCAAAAGAGTAAAAGAGACACGTGTATGTCAAATTCATGCCGATTGGCGATGCACCCGCGGGACGCCCCGGGCGAGAGAGTACAGACTCTCGCCCTGTCAAAAGCGCCTGCGCCGCGCCGAAAGACCGCGGGGCCCTCGAGCCACCCCGCCCGACGGTGCGGACACGGCGGAGAGGAGCTGTGTGAGGTCACCGAATGGAGGGCGAACGGCACGATACGAAAAGGCAGGGCGAGGCGGATGGAGAAAGAAGTGCCGAGGAGGGCATGGTGGAGGGGAGGGACGGGAGGACGAAAGAAGGGCGAGGAGGACGAGCGGCCCGCAAAGGCCGCGAGCAGACAGCGCCTGCTGGCCACCTCGAGACATTCGCAAAGAACGCTAGCTACATGGGAGGGATTCGTGAATGATGGATTGAAAAACATTCGAACAAAGAAGAGGCGACGGGAGGAACCGGCAGAGGATGCAGTGACGTGACACACACACACACACACACACACACACACACACACACACACACACACACACACACACACACACACACACACACACACACACACACACACACATACACACGCACACACACACACACACACCGCTCACCCACGCGCACCGGGCCTTGCACTTTAAATGCCGTGGGGCTCCTGTCGTTAGACGTGGAGACGCGAGGGTCGCCCCCCCTTGCCCCACCACCTCGTGTGTGTGGAGAAGTCTACCTTACCTTACCTTACCTAGCTGCTGTGGCCCACTGGTGGCGCCTCACGGCCGCCTCAGTCCCACACCAGCGCCTGCACGAGCTAAGGCAGGCGTAAAATATTGAATATATTGCTCCAATAGTTAGAGATGCGATCAATATCAATATATATTGCAATACTTAGAGGAGAGGCTGGGCCTGGGCTGGTCAGGACCGTCAGGTGGGTCCATCCTGGGCTTGAAAGTGGCTCTAAATCGTTCAAAACGGGCCCAAATCGCTTCAAAATCGCTTAAACCGCATTAAAAATCGCCTTGAACTCGCGATTTTTTCGATTTCAGCCCACATCTAGGCAATGTTTGGGACAAATGTCGACATTGGTGCTTTTGGAGGTTAAAATCAGCGATCAATATGTCAATATATTGTCAATAGTTAGAGGGGATGCTGTCAATAATCAATATCAATAGTTAGAGGGGCGAGAATCAATATTTTACGCCTGCCTTAGCACACGAGCAGGACGCCATTCAGCAGCAGGCAGGCTGTGAACTGCGCCAACAGTTGAGAGGAACCCACACACACCCTGCGTTTACGATACCAGGGGATGCTTGCGCAGAAGATGTGTCAGCTTTTTACAAGTCTCATTGTGTTTTCAGACAGAAGAAAAGACACGAGCAAAGCCTGGCTCCGCCGAGCGTTGCGTCGATTGCAGTCCGTTGCACATGAGAAAGCACGAGCGGAGCAGGCTCGCGCTAGGCGCAGCACAGCCCGCAGAGGCCGCGGCGAGTGGGGAGGCAGCGCCTGGCTGTTGTAGTAGCGATGTCGAAGGGGTCCTCGCCCGCCATCCTCGGGTCCTGGCCGTACACGCTCTCAAAAGGGTCCGATTCGACGTCGCACTGGGTCCACGCCTTCGGTCCTTTATAGGAGGCGCGGGGTGGCGCGGTCTGGCGCAGATTTGGCTCGTACTCCTTCTGAAATGGCGTCTTTGCGCTGCCGCGCATATGAAACTCGTACGTCGGCGGCGGAGCCGCCCCGGCGCCGGAAAAGACGAAGGTCCTGTGCTCATCCGACCAACGGCACGCTGCCGGAGGGGCTTGGGATGTCCAGGACGGCATCTAAGGACGGGGGTGGTTTCCTGCCGTGAGCAGCAGTTCGAAGAGGGCCCCGGGGAGAAGGCTAGCTGAGTACCGTGCGGTGATGGCTTTCAAACGCCGGCGGTACCCAACTTCCCGTCCCGCCCGCATTTGCAGTCGCCGCCTTGGACCTCTCCGCCATCATCGCCCGAAACGCGTCCACTTCGGCCGTGTCCTTGGCCACCTTTGCCATCGCTGCCTCCAGAGTCTGGAATGCCTCCGTCGCGCGGGGGTGTACGCTCCTGTCGGGATGCACCTGGGGAGCACGGGGTGCCGATGTAGGGCGTGCTCACTGTGCTCACTGTGCTTCGCCCCTCCCTGAGTGGAACTTCCTATCGTGTTTGCAACAGTCTTTGTCGCAAGCACCTTTCGAGCCAGGGTTCGGTAAGCGTTCCGCCTACATGCCAGGCAGTGTCATCATCACCTCATGCTCTGCAGGTGCAACCACACGGTGCAGCCTCACTTAGCTTCGGCCGAAGCCGTCCGAGAAACGCCGAGCACACGGTACGCGTCGTCCGCGCCAAGG